GAAAATATATTATAAGCAATCATTTTTTTATAGAGTTTTTTCGAAAAAATAAGACCTAACTCAAAAACATTTTATTGAAAAAAATGTTAATGCATAACATGCAGCTTCCAAAAACCAAATAGATTTTGTTTTATTTTTTCTGTAAGTCTCTAAGGTGACAATTTCGTATTTAATGAAAATTTTTAAAAACTTAACATGGAGTTACAGGGAAATGGTCAATTTTACTGGAAAAATTCGTAATATATTTAGATTTGTAATATAATACTCGTGCATAATTTTGAAAAAAATTATGGTTACAATAAAAAAATAGATTTGTCATTTTTAAAAATACCATCTCTTTTTTTTTTAGAAAAAGTAGTAAACTATCGGAGATACGTAAAATTTGCTATATAACAAAAATGTAGGATTACTTACAAAAAATACTATTATACCAAGTTTACGCATTTTGAATACTTTTGTACTTCTTCTGAACAAAAGATGGCATTTTTAAAAATGTTAAAAATACTTTTTTTCACTGTAAGCATATTGCTTTTTTAATATAAGTGATGTCTTTGACCGTTACTTGATGGAAATTTATTTTATCTAACAATAAAACATTGAAAACTTTTGTTTTCAACATATCCACAAAATTTATTATAAATTATTATCACTACAGCTGTTTCAGCAGAGTGACTTTCTAAAGTGATCTAATTTTGGTATGCGTTTACACTATATAGCCTTAAATTAGTTGTGGAGGAGAGCTGTTAGTTGTCTCAAGCTGGTCATTTAGAGTTATGTCTGTATTACTCTTTTGTTTACCTAGTCCTAGATGTTCTTCTCCTTGCATCTACGTCATATATCTGTAATTCTAGCTCTATACCATAGTATCTTACCATCATTATTATAAGGCCCTCACTGACCTCGGCAAGTGCTACTTACAAACTAAAAACTACATACTGCCATTCTGCGGTAAATTGTAATTAAACAAATACTTGTCTTTATTTGAAAGTTCATTATTTAACTTTCCATAATACACTCCCTTCATTGTTTTTGACAGAATTCAACTATAGCATGAGTCTACAGTCTACCCCTAAATCCTTGAGAAATTTTTCTAATTTAGCACAATCCCAACTGGATTTATTTTTAAGACAGTCATAGATCGAAATAATTTGTAGATTTGGGTTCAAAAATTTAAAAAGTTCCAATTATTTTCTAAAATACTGACCTAACTCAAAAATATACTGCAAATCATTTTAAACATAACCTCAACTTTATAACAAGGTTGACACAATTCACAATAATGTAATGCATTGTTTTTCACAGAAAGTACTGTATTCCCTTATTGTGTTTTTGAGAAATACGGCATATCTCAAAATATGACAGTATTGTGCAAAATGTTAAACGAACTTTTCGATTAACAATAACGCCAGTTCTGCCATCTGACGACCATACACATAAACTAACTTTATGGCTTTATAAGACAAAAAAAAATATAGAATATTTAATAACCGTTCACTGACATAATCCATTTTTCACTTTTTTCAAACGTTAGTCTTCTTCCAAGGTCTTTCTATTACTCCGCTATTGTCGGTATATGTTTTTTACTTAGTATTGGAAATCAATGCCTGCTACATTCTGGCGTATTCTCTTTTTCATGTCTATTCTTGCAATGTCTTAGTAACAAAATACCAAGTTGACAAACTATTGTAAATAGGTTTTTCTTTAACTATTTTTTTAAGAAAAGCTATTAAAAATTTGGCCTTATTAAAAGTATATTTTTTTCACCAGATAGGAAAAAAAGAATGATTGATCACTTACGAATGATATTTGATAAAATCGTCCAATTATAATTAAACATTTAAGAAAAAAACTACGAAAGCAAGGAGCAATGTAAAAATAGATCAGGAAAATGTATATAAAAGAAACAAAGAAACTAATAGAGTCGATAGAAAAACAGATATTACAAAAATGAAATATGCAATAAAAGGTAATAAAAATGAAGGTGACAAAAAATAAATGGAATTACAATTTGTAAGAGATATCATTAGATAAAGAGATTATTAAATGAACAAAAAGATATAAAATAAGTAAAAGACTTCTTTCTGCTTGTGTGTAGGCTTTAAAGCCTGTTTCTTCTTCAATAATATCCTCCTATATATATAGTACAGGTTGTTTACAACTGTCGTTGTTTTCCTGTCCCTAGTTTCCATCGTTTCCTATCTCGGGTGTCGGCTTCATCTAGCTGTCTTCCTTCCAAGGCTTCATTCACGTCATCTCGCCAGCTTCTTCTTGGACGCCCTCTTTTCCTTCTTTCGGTTGGGATCCATTTTAATATTTTCTTTGGCCACCTCTCGTCTGCCATTCTGTTTACATGACCGAACCAAGTTAGTTGTTTTTTCTGGACTTCATCTATAATGTCTTTTTCTTGCTCCATTCTACGTTTTATTTCTTCATTGCGGATTCTGTCCGTCCTTGTCAATCTACAGCTTCTTCTCATAAAATCCATCTCGGTAGCTTGTAATTTTTTCCTGCTTTATTTACTAGTGTCCCATATCTCTGCTCCTTATGTTACCACCGGCTCAACCATCGTCTTATATATTCGTTGTTTCGTCGTTCTTGTGATTTTTTTATCCCAGAGAATGAAGTTTAGGCATTTGGTAATGTTTCTGCCTTTGTTTATTCTTGTATTTATTTCTTCATGGCTATTTCCGTCTTTTGTAAATACTACTCCTAGGTATTTTACTCTATTTGTTCCTTTGATTTTGTCACTCTCCAATGTCAGGTCTTCGACTGTATTTTTCCCCACTGAGAGATATTCGCATTTTTGTAAGTTCATTGTCAGTCCACATTCTTCCATATCCACATAAATTATTTATCGGCACGTTATCATATGCCTTTTCAAAATCTATCAGGGCTATATGTGTTTCTTTGTTTCTTTGTTGTCGCTTTTCGAATAATATTTTAAGTGTAAATAGATTATCTATAGTCGATCTTCCAGCTCTGAATCCGCATTGTTCTTCTGGTTGTTTCATACGAATGTCTTCTTCTATGAGGTTTCTAAGTATTCGGGAGTACAGTCGTCCTATAGTGGGGATGACAGCAATTCCTCTATAGTTTCTGACATTGTTTCGTGCTCCTTTTTTGTATATTGGGGTTATATAGGCCTCACGCCATTCTAACCGGGTCTCTTCTCCATTCAGGCATCGTTTGAACAGATCTTTGAGCATTTCCCACAGTTTAGCTGAGCCGTATTTAATAAATTCTGGTGAGATGTTTCCTGGGCCTGGCGCTTTTTTAAGTTTAAAAGATCTTATCGCTTCTACGATATTTGTCATGTTCAATTCAATGAATTCTGATCGTATGTCTCTGTTTGCATTTTCGTATTGAAAATTTTGTCGTCCTTCTTGTAGTAACTGTTTAAAGTAGTCTACCCAGTCTTTTTCTGTTATGTTACTTAAATCTAATTTATTGTTGGTTGACGTTTTCATAGATTTTAGCGTTCTCCAGGCTTCTGAACTTTTCGATCCTTCAATCATTTGTTCTATGTATTCGCATTTCTTTTCCCAAGATCTATTTTTCCTTTTTGTTACTATCTCCTCCTTGGATGTTTAATATTCCTATTAGAGTCCTATTGTTAATAATCCTATTGTCAATAGTCCTATTGTTAATATCCTCCTAAATGGTTTAAATCATCGCAACATGTTTTTTTGGTTTGTCAATACTTCTTCGTCCATATGGCGACTTATCTCGTGCTATTCGTACTACCCTATCCTCTGCTATTCTACTAATGTGTTCCTTCCACTCCTGTTTCCGTTTTGTCACCCATCCATTTATGTCTTCTATATTGCATGCTCTTCTTATGTTTTCGTTTCTCTCCCTATCCCTATACAGACTTTTCCCTGATATTCGTCGAAGTATTTTCATCTCTGTTGTTTCTAATATTGGTCTTGTTTTAAATGTGTCAGGTCTGGTCTTCGCCGTGTATGTTAACATAGGTCTAATTGCTGCTTTATAGATTCCTGTTTTTGTGTTTTGTCTTAGGTGTTTGTTCTTCCAGATTGTGTCACTAAGAGATCCCACCGCTTTACTTGCTTTTAACTTTAACCTTTGTTGTCGTACTTCTTCAACATCTCCGTAACTAGTTATATCTATTTCCAGATATCTAAACCTTGCTTCCTGCTTTATTATTTTCCCATCAATTTCGATTTTACATCGTAGTAGGTATTTAGGTGTTGTCATACATTTGGTTTTTTCTGCTGATATTATCATATTGTATTTCTTGATTGTTATATTGAAGATGCGTGTTAATCTTTGGAGCTCGTCTTCTGTCTCGGCGATTAATGCGGCGTCGTCTGCATAGCATAATATTTTGATTTCTTTGTTCCCGATTCTGTAAACATGACCTTTACGTACTGCTTGTATTATTTCGTCCATTATTATATTAAAGATAAGTAGGCTTAACGACTCACCCTGTCTGACTCTGCTTTGTGCTAGTATACACTGTGTTAGTTTTCCATTTATCTTTGCCCATATTCCATTACGGGTTTTCTGCATATATACATAAATGAAACTATGAAATATACGTTAAGCAATGGACACCATAGACTACAAGACGGATAGATAGATAGTTTGCGTCATTATATGACAAGTTATTCTATTGTATATTACGATTTTTATCGAGTTATTTGTGCTAGTTCCACTGTAAGTGGTGCAATTAATTTAAGATTTTCTTCTTCTTTTAACTTTTCAAAACTAGATAGGAGTACTTTGTTTAGTAAATAAAAATGATGATATTATTGCTCAGTTACCTATTACAGGCAATAGTTTCTAATACTTTGTCCCCAACTATGTAAACAACATTGTGAAGTCGCATTTTTAGAAATATATCAAAATTATAACTATCCGCTTTTCTTTATGTACGTGAGTGACTAATTTAAAAAAATTGTTATAATGAACTTTAATGACTATTATTTTGGTGTTAAAATGTGCGGACTTTATCCAATGGAAATTTCTTTGTCCAGGAGGAAGCCCACATATCCTGGATCCTTGACAGACCTCCATAGGTTCAGAAAAACCGCCCATGGCCATGATGGCTCTAGTAGGATTGTTATGGTAAGAAAGACTGATCAAAGGACGTTTGCTTCCATACAAGACGGACAGGTGAGTTAGCTACTTCATGTTTTAGTAATACATTAATAGACTTTGGTAAAAGCTAAATTGTTTATTTTTTAAATTTACACAACACTATATTGGATTTTTTCTTTAAATGGATATTTTCATTCAGAAATTTGACATTCATCAAATCTGTACAACTTTTTTTCACTTAATGTATGTCTCATGATTTTATAGTTTAGTCATCTGTTTCATTTTTTATTCAGATTAAACCTATCCTACATATTTTTACATCGTTCATTTTTGTCGCAGATCGTACAAATCCAGTAGCCTGTTTTATTTTTTCGTTACTATTTAGTCTGGGCGGATTCTGTCGAAAAGCAGACCATAATGGATTTTTCCATGGGAGTCTATTTTTTTATAGAATTACTTCAGGATGTACCTTATATCTTGTATCAATAATTACAATATGCGCTAGTCGCAAACCTTGTGCTTAATTTTTTATTCAAATCAAACAAAATCTGAAAAAAAATCGAATTTTTTTTCTTTCTGCGCACCTATTTTCGTCTATAACTATAGAGATATTGCTCCTACAAAAATAATGTAAATACAATGTAAAAATTTCGTTTATCACTTTGACATATTTATTTATTTAGCGTATGGCTACATCACAGGTTCATATATATACATATATATAAATTACAAACAACAGTAAATACAAAAATATTATTCTACAAACATCTAGATTATAAATATATTCGATTGACTCTTTTGTAGCAGCCAGGAAATCCGAAGGGTTGCCGTTATAGGATCTAATCGGGCATTCCTCTACCATGTGTTTTACTGTTTGCCTTTCGACACCGCAGTCGCAATTTTGTGATTGTATTTTTCCCCATCTAAAAAGTGAGTCGGAACATCTGCCACAGTTCGTCCTTATTCTATTGAGTGTGGTCCAGATTCGTCTCGGTTGGTTGAAGCCCTCAGGTTTACTTGTAATACATGGCATGTTCCAGTTAGCTGGTGCAGCGTTATTCTCCCATTGTTCTCTCCACCGTTCAGTTACATTAAAGTTTTGATTTACTAGCGTTTTTGCTGTTTTTAGAGGCGGGTGTCTTGAACGGAGCCTATTTATGTCTCTGGCAGAAGTTCCGACATGGGAGCGGAGCTCAGGATCAGTATTGATTTTTGTAAATTCTCTGACAAGGGCATGTTCCCGGCGGATGGGTGGTGGAGCTATATGACTTAAAGCTGGTAACCAGTAAGTGGGCGTGTCCTTGATTGTGCCCGATATAGTTCGCATGGCTTGGTTGAGTTGGACATCAACACGCTGAGTATGTGGACTGTTTATCCATACTGGTGCACAGTATTCCGCTACGGGGTATACCAGTCCTAATGCTGTCGAGCTAAGTGTGGGTACTGAGGAGCCCCATGTAGTGCCGCAGAGCTTTTGCAGGATGTTGTTACGAGTTCGGAGTTTTTCAGCAGTCTTAGTAAGATGCTCTTTAAAGTTCAGCGTTCTGTCAAGTGTAACACCTAAGTATTTTGGGTGTTTATTATATTTAAGGAGTCTATCTCCAAAATGGATTTGAGGTTGATAGTTGGCCATCTTGTTGTACAAATGGAAGCAGGACACTTCTGTATTAGTTGGATTTGGTTGCAATCTCCATTTGCGGAAATAATTCCCTAGGGCATTTAAATCGTTTGTTAGAATGCGTTCAGTGACCTCGAATTCTTTATGACTTGCGGCAAGCGTCCAGTCGTCTGCGTATCCAAACTTTTTTGATGTGGTTTCTGGCATGTCTGCTATGTAGAGGCTGAAAAGCATGGGAGCCAGCACGGATCCTTGTGGAAGTCCATTATTCAGTTTTCTTTGGGTACTAATCTTGTCTCCCAATATAACTTTAAAGCATCTGTTGGATAGCATGGCCTTAATAACCTCAGTGGTCTTTCTGCATATATATATATATATATATATATATATATATATATATAATATATATATATATATTTTCCCCTTGTCACCACACAGTGTCGTAAGCAGCAGATAGATCGATGAAGACAGCGGTTGTTTTTAATTGCTTTTGAAAGTTTGATTCCACATAATTGGTCAGGGAGAGTACTCGGTCTGTGCAGCTGCGGTTTGGCCGAAATCCTGCCTGTTCCACTGGTAAGTGTTGGAATATGGTTTTATGTAACAATAAAACACTGAAAACTTTGTTTTCAAACTTCCACAAAATTTATTTTAACTAATATCACTACAGCTGTTTCGGCTGATTGCCTTACTCAAGTGATCTATTTTTCAATATAAGGTTGAATGTTCGAATAAATGAACTTTGATGGTACACAAGGCAAATATCGAACACAATAGTTAATCAAATCTTGCCCAAGTACTTTCGATCACAAGATCATCCTCAGGGACATTTCGTCAGTTGTGGCCTATCCAGCAGTAATAGAATGTTATAAATGTATATTGGGACATAACAAATACACTAAACAAAGACAAACAAACACTTTAAAATTTAAGAAATGGAGAAGCTACATTTTATATAGAAGCCGGAGACAGAATCATTCTGTCTCCGGCTTCTATATAAAATTTCAGAATCCGATAATTTCAGATTCTTTTTTAGCGCCAAAAAATACATAGGATTCACATAAATTTGTAACAAAAGTTGTATAAACCATTTTTTGTTGGTCTGTGTTATTATTTGAGCTCTATACTGTTACTGTAACTTTTCCAATTTTTCCGAGAAAGTTATACACGAATTCCACAATTTTTACACGTGCAAAAACTTATAGCAAATGAAGTCAGCTTAATGACACGACAATTATGGTAATAATCCTTTATTGATATATTACCAAATACAAAACAGTTTATCTGTTTAATATGTACGTGAAGGTACTACGGTTAATCCATCTAATAAAAAGGATTGTCGCCAAATCACAATATTAGTACATTTTTATTTTTAGATCTTAAACTAAGATATGTGACGCCGTATAAAATATTACTTCTTTATAATATTATCAGTAACAATTAAGGTTATTTTTGCATTAGATATCTCTTTTTTTAATTTCCTGCTATTAAGGGATCAAATAGTTTTTGTATAAAAATGTTTTTAAAAAATCTACACAACGGTCTATTATGTTCTCATATCTCATATAAGCTGTCAGATATTTGTTGTATTGTCGTTACCTCATCATTTGTGTAATGTTTTTACCTATAAAAGAATAACGAAACAATGGCCCAGAAATAATAAAGAAAACATTTTTATTATTGGGACTCTTCTAAAATATCTGTAATTCTTGTTGTATTTGGTAAATTCTAATATATTCTTTAAATATTTAGTTTGAGACATACCAACCAACTTTTTGAGAGGTATTGCCTCCAACTTGCGTCATTACTGGTATACTTGCAGTAAGAAATATGGCAGAACGCTCAAATTTGTAGGTTTTGATGAAATGGTAATTAAATATTAAGTTAAGATTTGCACGATAGTCTTGTAAACGAGATGGCACGTACCGTACAAGAGTTTAGTGGAACAAGCCCACTTAGCAGACCACCGCTACCAAAAATAAACTCGTCTTAGAAACTAGGCGCGCTGATACAAATTGTGAATACTGAAGTCCTACCCAATTATATCACAGAAGCCCATACATTGGAATATTTGCATATGCTAATTTACTATGTAGCAACAGAAGTTGCTAATGTTATGGGCATTAAAATCAGAACACGACGGGGTACCAACATCGGACGGACTGGTGACAGAATAGCACCCTGGGAAAAACGACTGCTGAGGAAGATTGAATTACTGCTTAGGGACAATGAACAAATCTCGAAATACATACGAGGAGTAAAAAGTAGAAAAACGATCACTCTAAGACACTCACGACATGATCCACAAGACAACACACCACAACAATGCTTGGACACAATAGAACAAAAACTCTCTGTTTATTCAGACCGCCTGAGGAGATAAAAGTTAACAACGACCGGCAATGCGACAATATACTTTTGAGCATGCAGAGAAGGCGTTTTATAGGAAACTTAATTTCACTGTGGAAAATGAAAATAAATCATATTCAAGCTAAGAAGAAATTCACGAGTGGATGGATTGAAGACACAACGAACAACTGTCAGCATTACAATAATATTCTTACGAACCCTTTACCGCTGAAGAAGTCTCAAATACTATCAAAGAACTTTATAGCTTGAAATCTCCTTACCCGGCGGATTTCAAAACTTCTGGCTAGAGAAGTTTTGGAGTGTTCATGAGTGCTTGTCAATGTTGCTTAATCATGTTATCTCTAATCCACAGAAAATACCATCATTTCTGACACAGGAAACCACTTAACTAATACCAAATGATCAAAATAACACCCAAGATCCACCCAAGTACCGTCTTCCAATTTGTATAAATTGGTCACATCCTATGTAGTTCGGCGTATCGACCAACACTGTGCTCTAAAGAATATCATAGAGCCTCAACAACTTATTATCGACTCAGTCATTTCTACACCAAAAAAAGGAACCTTTTTACTGCCTTCATTGACTACATGAAGGCCTTGATTCAGTGCTACATGAATGGTTTATAGATATATTGAAAATATATAAAGTCAATAATTATAAGACTTTTTTATAATATAAAATGACGGAGTCATAGACTAAAATTCACCTTCCAATACCTGGTGAAAATAATATCGAAACTGAAGATATCCCAATTCACCGGGGCCTTTGCCTTTGTGGGTTTTACGCCTCTCAGAGAACCGTTCATGAGAAATTCTTACTGATAATAATGCATTCCTCCAATATCCAGATGATCTCTACCATTTCATCAACAGTACAATTTTTCTTCGGTCTTTATTGAGTTTATACACCAACAATTATGGTGAACTATCAGTTATAGACAATTGAATCGTTTCTTTAATAAATTTATAAAAATTTAGATACATAATTAATAATTTGCTCAAATCTCAAAAAATAATAAATTTAGACAAAGGAAATATTTCATATAAATTGAAGTATGGTAATGGTACTTTTCGCTAGAAATAAA